TCAGTAATTTTCTTTGTTTTCGGAGGGGTACTATCTAAGTACTTTATAAGCGTAGGTAGCTTTGATGAGTGTAGACTCATCAAAAAAGCCAATGCTTTGAAAAAGCCATAACATGCAAATAATATGGCGGACATTCATAGGCATCCTTTGATATGTGTGATCAAAATCATGGCGTGGCATTTAAAGCGTGGCCAGTCATTGTTTGACGGGGGCCTTACAAAGCCGTTGTTCGTCGGAGGCGGGTTTTTGCAATTCGCGCAGAATTGTTGCCGCTCGTGCGAGTGCACAATTATCGGGCGCACTATCGATGCGTTGTTGACAGCCTGCTTTGTAAGTAGTGTTTTGAAAACATGTTTTAATTTTTTTTATATGTTTCCGCTAAAAAAATTAAAAGATGGCGCCTAAAGGTGTCATGTCATTGTCCTCATGTAAGGCTGTTTTTTTCCCATATTATAAAATATGAGGCAGTCAGTAATAATATATGTGCTACAAAAAGCAATAAATATCACAATTTTCACGCGAGTTGAACACGTAATATTATTTCACAGGAAGTCAGGAGTCCTCAGCGGACCTTTTATCTGACGGCTGTCTCGGTTCTATGGCGACGCGCCTCTTTGTGCCGCGAGACACATAGGCAGGGTGGTAGAAATATGATTTGTTGGTAAATACTACCCTAAGGATCAATAAAATATAGATTAGTTTATTATAATTTACCTAACGTTAGGCCCTTTATTTCAAGAATGTTTGACCCCAACTTCTACATATTAAACTGAATGACTATAGTAATACATTTATTTATACCATTTAGAAATCGAAATAGTTTTACTACATTGTGATTTTTGTATGTTAAAAGCATGCCTTCTTTATGAGGGTCGAATCACTTGGCTCATGTCGTTTATTAATCCACGATTGTGATTTTTAATAGCAAAAATATTTTTAAGCGTTTCCGTGACTGGGCCCTTTGTTCTTCTGCAAATGGTCGGGACTAAGATTGATCATGTTTTGTTTCTCGTCAAATACGTTGTGCGTCTCAAGAAACGCTATAATAATGCTCCAGATTTGATCTTTAATGTCCCGTCGCTTAAGAATTTCACTTTTGCGATTTGAACCGTTTATGAGGCATGTTTTGTTTTGCTACACAGATGATTCTACTAATTTGAATACGAGTACTTTAGAGTTTCGACATTATAATGTTAGATACTAGGTACCCACCTAGTATCTAACATTATAATGTCGAAACTCTGTAACCCTACCTTTACAAGTTTTATTGAGAAAGTGAGCGAATGTTTTAACAACTGAGGTGGTGTTCGTGTGATCAGAAGTTGTGATATATTCGCTCAAACTCGATCGCAAGGAAGTTAAGGCCAAGTTCTCGGGCGACACGGCGATCGGTCGCGAGTAGGGTTGCCAGGCGTCCGGCTTTAGCCGGACATGTTTGGCTTTTTAGGAACTTGTCCGGCCAAATATTGCCTTGTCCGGCCTGTCCGGCTTTTGTTAGGCTTTTTATTTGGTTGCCGCGCCAAGCAAAAGTCGAGCCACAGAATCATATGAAGCGCATGCATCAGGATGTTGGTTAGCAACCGATGATGATAGTACTCACTCATGAGCTGAACACTAATAAATTGCAAATTGTCACATGTCCGGCTTTTAGGATAAAATGTATGAAGCACAAATGAAGCACAAAGTCCGACTTTTGTGATTTTGGACCTGGCAACCCTAGTCGCGAGTAGATCGATCATGCGGCCCTCATCGCGCGACCCATACGTCTCTGTCCATCCGAGCCAACCAGCCCGGCCATTTTATTTTGTACAGTTTGACATAATATTTTTTAGCTACAATTCTATTTCACTGGCGACAGCACACCGAGATCAACACAGAAACAACTCATTTGTAATCGGTGATTTGTAATAAAAATTAGATAAAGTCTGATTGCGCTTATATTTAATAAATTTAGGCAAATATTACGGCGAGCTTTCTGAAAATGCAGCTTTCATGACCGCTGTTTGTCAGAGATTCCCACTGCCGAAGTCATCGTAAAGCCAATTAGTAGTTTCACGAATTTCTGACTACTAAATAGTAGTAGGTCCTACCTACTACGCACCACTTGAAATCAATAAAATATCGCTTAATCGTTAAGTTTCATCTTCGTCGTCTAGTTTCATCAAGTTTTAGTTGGTTCTTCGTTGATTAAACCCATGATGAACCGTACCTATGAACAGTACCGTTTGCGTGCACATTAAAATTTAAACTTCACTCAACAACCTCGGGGTATGACGACAATATGCACTGAAAATTGAGTTAAAATCAAAAACCTGTATAGATACCTGCAGCAAGGCTTGGCAGTTCGCTAAATTGTTCGCTTATCAAGTTTAAGGTAAACGTCGTTTACGTGAAAACAACACTAGCGTTTTCGTAGAGAAAGGCCAAGTTTCAGTGATGGACCAACGAGGTAACATTATAACGGTGACGCTCCGACAAATGTGAACGTTGGACTTTAAAGCAGAGTGTTAAGCTTTCAATTTGTTTGTACGAGGAATCAACACCATGGCCGACAAATGTGTTAAAGCGCTTTAACGAACGCCCGCCGGCGCGTGAGCGGAGCTGGCGCGGAGCTCAAAGCGGGCGGTGAGGGTCGGACGCACGCAGAGCCAAGTATAAATTCCAGTGCGGAATTAGCGCCAGAGTTAAAATAATTCATTATGTGAAGCCAGTGTGATCATTCTTAGGCCCGGTTTTTTTAATCGTAGTTAAAATAACCAATAGCCAAATTTGACAGATGTCAAATGACAAGTGGTTAAATATCAGAAAAAAAGCTTGACTTTTAGCAGGCCTGGCTCACTCCGCGCGGTACATCCGATAATTACCTACAGCGAAGCGCCCCGCCGGCGGGTATTATATCAGTCGAGTGTCACGCGCGCGCCCGTCAGGACGCTGGCGTGCGTTGTAGTACCTAATTCTATGATCGAAGATAATATAGAGAATATTATTTAAAAATGGACATAAAGAGAAAGAAATATTGTGCGGCGTTCGGGTGTTTAAATTCGGAAAGAAATCTACCGGATTTATCTTTTTTTCGCTTCCCAAAGATGCTGAAAGGTATGTTGGCCATGTAGGTATTTTTAGGATAGTATAGGAACCTAACCTACCATGACTACTGCTCAGAATGCGTTCGTTCGTTTCAGCCAAATGACGTCCACTGCTGGACAAAGGCCTCTCCCAAGGTTTTCCATAATGAATGCGTACTTACCTACATGCGTACCTCATTACAAATAAGTAGATTAATTATTTTTTCACTAGACAGCAACCCTAACAGCGTAAGAAGAGTTCAGAGGCACGCGATAGAAAGAAACAAAACTTGTAGGTGAATAAAATTGTAGGTACGTAGTGCTGTGCGAGCTGAATTCCACTGTATCGCGTCGTAGGAAGACTCGCATTTATTTAAATCGTCTTGCGGAGTAATCCTTCTGTACCTGTACTATTACTTATTCTGTGCTTTTAGTACATTTTTTAACTATTTGTTTACATTTTGTTAACATTTAACCATTAGTAGCAAAATTCTGGAATAGAGGCCGCGTACCGGAAAACGCAGCGTGGGATGTCCACCTACAATGTGGACCGACAACATCGTAAAGGTAGCAGGGAAGCAGGCCGCCACCAATCGATCAACATGGAAAGCATTGGGGGAGGCCCATGTTCAGCAGTGGACGTCCTATGGCTGAAATCATGATGATGATGAGTAGTAGAGTAAGTAAGATAATAAGAGGGCCTTAGTAAGATCCACACGTAAGGAACTAAAGCGATGGGAAAATTTAAATGAGGTGTTTGGTATATAAATTATGATTATTAATATTTTTTAATAAGTAATGAATGTTTATTACGTATCCAAATTGACATAATTGTCCTCAACAAAAAATAAACGATACTGTCACCTAATGCAATAGAGGAAAGAGCAAACAGTCACGGATCGCCCCAATCAGCCTGCCGGTGTTTGCACTCAAAATAAAGCGAATTGATGCGAGTCACCGTGCTTTGTTACTCTAGTTGGGCAATTTTACACGTTCTATAAAATAATGAGTTCGATTTTTGTCGTTTTATATTGCAGGTTTTGATTCCCTAGCGTGTGACGGAAATTCGTCTAAGGTGTCGGTATAAACTGCTGTATCTTTTGATCGCGTTAACTTAGAAGTTTGATTTTTTTACTTCTTATAGGGACAATAGATCTAGGTATTTGGTATAAATTTCAATTTGATACCTTTATTCGTTCGTGAGAAATAAGGTAGTAAGTTTCATTTTATTAAAATATTTTTATTATATTATATAACTAAAAAAATGTAATTTTCGCAATTTTTCCTATATTTGCATTATATGACAATGCTTTATGCCAAATTTCAAGATTCTGAGTTTACGGGAAGTATCCTGTAGGTTTTGATTCCTTTGCGAGTGTCGAAAATTTGTTGAAAATATCGACATAATCGGCTGTATCTTTTGATTGGCTTGGCTTAGAAGTTTGATATTTTCACAGCTTAAAGGGACAATAGACCTGAGTATTTCATGTGAATTTCAGCTTGATACGTTCACGCGTTCTTGAGATAAAGGGTCTTGACAGACGGACGGACGGACAACAAAGTGATCCTATAAGGGTTCCGTTTTTTCCTTTTGAGGTACGGAACCCTAAAAATGGTATCCAAAACTCACTTTTGGGCAGTTTATTTAATAAGTAAATCGTATTCATATAATAAAAATACGGCTTACACGGCACACTTTTATTCTGAAAACACTACAAATTCTTAATACCACACTGAAAAAAATGTTTCGTTACAACTTACACAAATGAGTGACTTGCGAACTGAGTATTAACGTATAACCAGACCAGGTTTATCATATCACTACAAAATAGTTCATTTTGTTCCATATAATCATAGTACCTACCTAATTAGTAGTAACCTCCAGTTCGCAAGTCACTCATTAGTGTAGGCATTAGCCAAATTATTTTTTTCAGTATTATTTTTTGTAACATATGGGTACCATTTACTTTGTTCCGATTGTGCCAAGAGAAAATTGCTTCTCATCGTCAGCCACTAGACTGTCGGGGGCCTTCTCGCATATGAAAGCGAAAGGGACGGACTCGCACCAGATGTCGTCGAGCAGGCCGGTGCGGAACATGGCGCCGCAGTAGGAGCCGTTGTCATGCGCGCGGCTGTTGTCGGGCTGCCCGCCCGCCCAGCTCGCGTAACCCGCCTCTTCAATAGTCTGGCCTGAAATAATCATTGCAACAAAATCAATTTTAAACTATAGTCCAAGCTTTGCTTAGTTTGGGACTAGAAACGCAGTGTAAAATGTCTAAAGGACGTAATTATGTTGCTATCGCGCTCGCACACTCACTGCGGGTGCCAGTCGCACAGTCGCGACAGCAATATAATTACGCGCGAGCGATAAGGATGGGTAGCTAGGGGTCATTGGACAAAATTCTACGTGCTCACGGACCAGGCTTTAGGCTTAACATTATTATACCGTTTCATTGCTTTATGAACTATTTCTACACACAGGGTGGCCGAAAAAAAAATAGGTGATAGTTTAAGATACATTACAAAATTAACTCTGTCTCCTAAAGTGAGCAAAATCAACTATACATGGGGGTGATTTAGATACACTTTGATGTAAGGAATCTAAATTTTAGCTTTGAACGTCAACTCCCTGGCCACCCTGTATAATAGTTATTTTCTTTATCTAACCTAAGTAAAAACTAATCATGATATTATTAGCGCAACATGAGAATATTTTCTTAAGATAAAAAGTAATTTTGCGCCAAGCATCGCCATCAGCAATCTTACCATGCACTGTGTACCAAGTGCGCTTTTGATCCCAATCCAAAAAACCTAGTGCAACTACGTCCTTAAACTCGGACTTTATAGTGTTAGCTGGATGTCCAGCGAAGATGTTTTTCAGGACCGTCGCTTCTTGTGCACTGTTGGGGATGGCTAGATATCCCCCCTGGGCGAGGCAGGTCCTCTGCGCGTTCCTCCAGGTCCTCCCGGTGCCGTGGAACTTGTAGCAGCTACCAGTGCTACTCTCTAGTTTGTACTCTGTAGACAAAAATGTTTAGACCAGATTCAAACAGTTGAAAATAAAGTTGCCTTCAAGGCTGATTTCATAGAAACATGAGAAACAAATTTGTTCCTAACATAAATTAGCTATAACAGGTTTGAACTAAAAAATAATGCATTGAAATGATGATAATGCAAAAAAAATTGTTATTTAATTGTCAAGTAATAATTTTCCTACCAGGATCAACAGTGCCACAAGCTGTGATCACGGGGCTGTTGACTTTCTTCCTGTAGCACACGTAAGGGAACGTCTCGTCACATCGCACGTCCGCCACCGTCCCGTTGGGCAGCATGATGATGCAGTCTTCCTGGTTCTTGAAGTTGTCAGGTTCGTCCAAGGCCCACTCCAGTGGGATCTTTTCCAACGGGACCCCTAAAATGATTTCGTTTTAAATATTAGACGAATATTTAATACCTAATAGAGCCAGGTCGCTCTTTAAAAAACATAACTATCCATTATACATACCTTCGATAGATGTGAAGTCCCCTTTGGAAAATGTGGCGTGGATTCCTGTGAAGATGCCGCAAGCCACTCCTGACGCCGCTTGTATCCCTTCCATGGCTTTGTGGAGATTTCTATCCAGCGGCGATGCCAAAACTGCACCTGGAGATCACAATAATAGAGGCTTATAAAATCAAAATCACTTTATCTTCATAAATTATGTGCGTCTTTTATTTCCTCTAATGCATTTTATTTTCATAAAAAAATACTCGTAAACACCTATCCAAAGTCAATCATATGAAGTTTTTGCAATTAATACTTTGAATTTAATTACGATCAGACACCAGAGAAGGCGTAAATAGTAACGTGTATCCATAAAATATATTACAGTAATCCATATACTTGACCATACAAAATTATATGAGGTTTCCACATGATCGGGAGTTCATACCTTCTAGGTTACAGCGTAGGAATGCGTCTTTGAATGTCGCCGGCATCAAATGAGGCTTCAGCCATCCTTCTAGCTCCTTCACGTAGTAGTAGTCAAAACGGAATCCGCCATCTGTCCCTTCAAACACAAGGTCAGAAGTGTCGTAGGATATTTGTTAGTTGTACGATTATGTAAAATAACTTAGCAATGACATTTAGGCTGAGTTCCACCACCTTATTTTAACTGTAATTATAACAATGACCGGTGTTTTGTATGGAGTTTGACAGATTTCTGACGTTTGTCAATGTTAAAGTAAGATGGTGCAACTCAGCCTTAGAGTTATTTCCGTTGATTTAAGTTTTTTTAACTTACATGCTGAAGCAATGTACAGTAAAAATATATAATATACACAATTTAAATGTCGACACATGATTTAGATACGACTGACCGATACTAATTAATCATACATAGGACAACAGTTAAAAAGTAACCGCGCTATCAGTTTTGAGTTCAAAATGTTATCAAGTACTGGCAACTTTAGCAGTATTGGCGTTGCAAAAATAATTTAATCTAATCATTTTAATGACGTATAAATACACTTCTGGACACATCTATTGGCCCACCTTAGAGTTTAGGTTTCGATGGCCCCTACCGAAATATGATTGCTAGATTGAACAAAAACTGTTGATGCAGTTTTAAACCTGATACATTTTACCATCTTTTTCGATCGTATTGTTGTTGAATACCATACGACATGGAGCTACGCCTAACAAGTCGGATATGCGCCTTGTTAAAGGCAATTGATTTTTGAATAAAAAACATGTTTTATCAAATAAAGGTTTCATTTGATAACGCGTGTTGCCTCCATGGGCATCTACCACAGCTCTCATACGATTAGGCATAAAGTTTATCAACCGCTCTATGAAATTTTGAGGGATCATCTCCCATTCCTCTTCTATGGCAGTTTTCAACTCCTGTATCGTCTGGGCAACTGGCTGACGAGCGCTAACACGTCTTTTTAGCTCGTCCCACATGTGCTCAATGGAGTTCATGTCTGGGCTTCTGGCTGGCCAGTCCATAACTGTGATGTTCACATTCCGTAGATATTCCTTGACGATGCCGGCCGCATGGGCTCTTGCATTATCATGCATAAAAAGGAAATTTGGGCCCACATAGTCCGCGTATGGTATCACGTGAGGTTCTAAGCACTCACGGTACATTGAAACTGAAAGGTACATTACCTTTCAGCATTTAAAGTTGGCAGCCGTGGTCCTGTAACAACCTCAAGTTGAGTTTTGAGGCTCGCGGATATACCGCCCCAGACAGTCCATGAGCCACCTCCATAAGCAACCCTCTCTTCAAAGCAGCATTGTGCGAAACGCTCTCCCTTACGTAGGTAGACCTTCTTCCTTCCATCATTGCCATGTAACACAATTTTAGACTCATCAGAAAAGAGTACACGGCTCCAATCTTGCTGTGTCCAATTAAAATGACTGCGTGCGAAATGAAGGCGCGCTGTTCGGTGGGCTCGCGTTAGTTTGGGCCCATTAGCTGGCTTGTGTGGTACCATATCGCGTTCTTTTAACCTTCTCTGAACAGTTCGAGCGCTCACAGATACTCCGTGGAAGTCGCGAAGTTGGTTTTGTATCTCAATGGAGGTAAGGTGACGATTTCTCAAGCTGGTCGTCACGATGAATCGATCCTGCCTTTCAGTTGTGACCCGAGATCGTGGCCTTCCTTGGCGACGAACAAAGCCACCAGTCTCTAGGTACCTCCGATAAACATTTCGGACCGCAGATCGACTTAAATTAAGTTGAGCACTCACGTTTCTTTAGCTGTGTCCGGCCTGAATAAGTGCCACAGCTTGGGCGGCGACTTCAGGTGAAGTATCCATAGATTATTTATTGATAGAATAACCTCACCTTAATGTTAAGAATCAGTAATTTTTGTTGCAAAACCAAAGATATCAATCACTTTTTCAAGAATTAAATCCAAGTAAACCAATAAAACCAAGTTTTCTTAGTATTCGATTGTTTGATATCAACAAACAGGCTCCAAATTGTCTTTTGTTTCTTTATACTCTGTGTTCGAAATTAAAAAAAAAGACTATTGAATGAAATTGTGGATGTACCAGGTTCAAAACTGCATCAAAACTTTTTGCTCGACCTAATATAAAATTTTAGCTGGGACCAAATGAAAATGAAAATACAAGGTGGGCCAGTAGATGTGTCCAGAAGTGTAGTTTGTCTGGGATCAAAACCTACACTAAAAAGTAGAAAAATAATTACTAATTACCTACTTATTTATTAGGACGAATTAATCTTTATGTAGGTATACCATGATTGATACTTCTGGAGTCGGTGCCAAGATTATGAAACATGTAAAGTTTGCCTGCACCGACTCCAAAAGTATCAATCATGGTATACCTACATAAAGATTAATTCGTCCTAATAAATAAGTAGGTAATTAGTAATTATTTTTCTGCTTTTTAGTGTAGGTTTTTTGGAGTCGTTTTTTTTTATAAAATTTTACTTATTTCTTGCTTTTTAGTTAACTAATAATTACCTTGATGTTACCACTTAAGGTAAGCAGTACATTGAGACCGGATTGGATATTCTTAATGTTTTCACTCGTTGTATCTCGGAGGGCGTGTTTCCGAGTATATGGCGTCGCGGATTTATTAAAATTATACCAAAGGGAGGTGACAAACCGCCCGAAGATCCTAAATCGTACCGACCTATTACATTACTTCCCTCATTAGGTAAACTGTTAGAGCGATTAGTAGTGCCGCGTTTGCTACCGGGTGGTCCAATTTTTCACGAGCAGCAGTTTGGCTTCACCGCCGGGAAGTCTACTGCAGATGCAGTAATATCTGTTAGACAAAAAGTGACGTCCTCGGTGGCAAAGTACGTTGTAGGAATATTCCTCGATATTTCAGGTGCCTTCGACAATGCTTGGTGGCCGATCCTGCTCTTAAAACTGAAAGTTCGTGGATGCTATAGTAATATATATTCACTACTGCACTCGTACTTTTGTAACGGTACAACTAAATTAAAACTCGGCCATCATGCTGAATCAAAGGTGCTCACGCGCGGCTGTCCCCAAGGATCGGTCCTAGGGCCCTACCTTTGGAATTTGGGTTTCGATGATTTTCTAGCATTACCATTACCCGAAGGCTGTTCGTTAACCGGGTACGCTGATGACGGTCTCCTTTTAATAGAGGCTGACACTAGATCAAAGCTTGAAAATCTAGCGGATACATGCTTGAATTTAATATCTCAATGGGGAGACAGGAATCGTTTGCAGTTTGCCCCNCCCGGAGAGGCTTAGTTCAAACGATCATAGCAAATGTTGTGATAGGGATAGAGACATGCGATTTTTGGTTTTACAAAGATAATACGATATAGAATAATTCAAAGTAATAAAAACCACCTTTTATAGGGGCATTTTTTGGAGAAATTTATCAAATAACCAAAAAAACACGAATTTTTAAGCAGATTTTTTTCAAAAAGTATCATTTTTTATTATTTGTTGGCATTTTCTGACTATTTTATGTATTTTTTTAGTATCGTCTGTTATTTAGCATTATTACTGTTTTTATTTTATCAGGATATACCTCTTAGTTTAAAAGTTATTACGTTTTCTTTACAATAAGTACTTGAAAGAAAAAAAAATCTATAAAAAATAAAGAAAAAATCTTAAAAAATTTTTGACCACTTTTTTGTCGATAAAAATAGGTCTAGTTTCATCTATTTTCATATGTACACTTTAACGTGACTCACACTGTATATCAGTTGATCATTTTATCTATCACACCTTTTGTTGTACTTGTATTTTGTGATGTGTACCATTTGTCACTAAACCATTGTAACCATGGTAGCAATGTACATTTTGGCACGGGGATTTTTTGACGTTCATACTTTCTGCCACACTAACAACCGGTCCGTATGGACATTTTGACACCTGCACATTCCAACCGTTGAGCGTTTTTTCGCATTGACTACCCAGTCCCTGAATGTTAATAAGCTAAAACTCTTATAAAAGATAAAATAGCAATAATAAATAATTTAGAGCAACTGTAACTACGTAACTGTGTAGAAACCTACTTAAGAATATACGAAAAACCTTGTCCCGCAAGTACCTAAGTATAGCGGTTATTGAAGCAATCTTGGCTGGCGTTGTAGTAGGGTTCATAAAAAACTAAGCCAGGCGGTCGATGTATTTTATTGTTTTTCATATTCTTCGTCATCGGGCACGAGACTGTTGTCGGGGGCCTTCTCGCATATGAAAGCGAACGGGACAGACTCGCACCAGACGTCGTCGAGCAGGCCGCTGCGGAACATGGCGCCGCAGTAGGAGCCGTTGTCGATTGACTTGGTGTTGTCAGGCTGGCCGTTCGCCCAGCTCGCGTACCCTGCCGCTTGAATACTCTGACCTGGAAGTATCATAATCAGCTATACCCAATGAAGTACAAGTAAATCCAGGTAACCAAAAAACTACACTCATGCGAACCACACACTGAAGAAACTCTTTAGTATCTATAGTAAAACTTAATAAGTTTTACTTTCATCTGTCACCAAGTTGTCTTTATAACGAAACTTTCTTCCGTTTAAGATAAGAAATCACTATATCACAACTTACCATTAACTGTGTACCAAGTGCCCTTTTGATCCCAATCAAGAAATCCAATTGAAACAACGTCCCTAAAGTTCGACGTTACGATTATAGTGTTGGCTGGATTTTGGGCAATGAGGTTTTTGAGGATTGTGGCTTCCTGGTCGCTGTTGGGGATGGCCAGGTACCCGCCCTCCGCGAGGCAGGTCATCTGCGCGCGCCTCCAGCTCCTCCCCAGGCGGTGGAACTTGTAGCAGCTACCAGTGCTTTGTTCAAATGTATAAGCTACAATCGGAACAGATAAAAGATTATTGAGATATTGAAATGTCTTCACCTACACTAAAGCCTGGTCCGTGAGCACGTAGAATTTTGTCCAATGACCCCAAGCTACCCATCCTTATCGCTCGCGCGTAATTATATTGCTGTCGCGACTGTGCGACGGGCGCCCGCAGTGAGTGTGCGAGCGCGACAGCAACATAATTAGGCGCGAGCGATAAGAATGGGTAGCTTGGGGTCATTGGACAAAATTCTACGTGCTCACGGACCAGGCTTTACCTTCTTTTCACGTCCGAATTAATTGTCACGTCTTTCAGTGGGTACTGGAGAGTGGAGACGGGTCGCTTACTATTGGCCTTATAAGAAGGATCAAGGTCACCCAAAAGGCAATGGAGCGTGCTATGCTCGGAGTTTCCTTGCATGATCGACTCAAAAATGAGAAGATCAAAATGACCGACATAGGCTGCAGAATTACTAAAATCAAATGCCAGTAGGCGTGGCACATAGCTTGTAGAACTGATGGCCGCTGAGGCAGAAAAGTTCTTGAGTAGCTATCACAGGCTTGAAAATAACAAATAAATGATTCTACATTACTAAAGTGGCCATTATAGAAAATCTCCAATAAATCGATCAATGTTATCATAATATAATATTATCGTGCTGTATATTATGTAGATGTTTCAGTTATGGTAGCTTATCGTGTTGTTTTATTTGTCTGTAAATGCAGTTAATTACCAGGGTCGATAGTGCCGCAGTTTGTATTCATCACGGGGTTGTTGGTTTTCTTCTTGTAGCACACGTAAGGGTACGTGTCGTTACACCGCACGTCAGCCAGTGTCCCGTTGTGCAGCATGATCGTGCAGTCTTCCTGGTTCTGGAAGTTGTCAGGTTCGTCCATGGCCCATTGCACGGGGATCTTTGCTAACGGGATACCTGATTATAATAATTATCACGTTCTAAAAAGTATAAAACATTACAAGCACTTCCACCGCTGTAAATGATATGGAATGGCTTTTTACATCCAGTTCAAAAATACCTTCGATAGACGTGAAGTCCCCTTTGGAAATTGTGGCATGGATTCCCGTAAAGATAGGACAGCTAACTCCCGCCGTCAGCCTTGCTATAGCTGTTTGGAGATTTGCATTCAGCGGCGATGCCAGAACTGCACCTGTAGATTAGTCTTCAACATTAATCATAGATAGGATTATGACTCAGTATTGCCCATTTTTGAATATATTCTAATTAATATCTGTAGTGAACATGAACAATCAAAGTGGACCAGTGGCGAATAGAATCGAATGCAGTGAATTAAATAAAAGCGTTAATAGAATTTGCAATTTAGGTTAAGCTTTGTTTTTAACCTAAACGCAAGAAAGTTTTTCGTCAAATTGATCAATTTGTACCAAATTAGAAAACTTTGAATATATCATTGTTGTACATAATGTGTCGTATTTAACCTTCTAGGTCGCAGCGAAGGAATGCCTCAGTAAACGTCACTGGTGCCTGGTGCAGCTTCAGCCATCCCCCTGCCTCTTTACTGTACGAGTAGTCGTAACGGAATATGCCATTTGTCCCTTTCAAAAACAAAAGTTTGATTTCAAAAACAGTTGCGCACCGAGACCGAGATTTCATCGTGATTATTATTATTAATATTCGTAATATACAGGATGACCCGGATGTACCCGGAAATACCCCATGTAAATTTTTATTTAGAAAAAAAATCGTAGCTCGAAAACTATTACTAACAAAATCGCTGAACATACATGGGGGATTTCCGGGTAAAACTGGATATCAGGAATTTTAATGTCACCTTTTGGGGATTATGATTAACATTCGTAAGATATTTTACTATGATTTTTTTTAAATTTTACATGAAAAAACTTACTTGCAATAGAAATGTAGACTAAATATAAAACTAAATAATAATAATTCCCACACATGATCACTCCTTGGTTCAAATAGGACTGACAGTCTATACTAATTGAATAAATGCTAAAGAAGGTCTATCACTTTGGGTTCATAATGTTATCAAGTACTGGGAATTGTTTAATTAATTTTAATTACCAGTTGCGAGTACCTACTAACGGTTGGGTATTTTTGAATATTGTTGTTGACGTTGTTACAATATTATTGTTGACGTCATAAACTTGATTTCTTATTTAAATCATAATAGCATTAAAGATAATTACAGTTTGAAGTCGTAGGAATCAGAGCTCTATTCAACGCTGTGCGTTCGATTTGCTGCTTCACTAAGCAAGCATCGTTTGTGAATACGGGCGTGATACATCCGAGTGTGAATACGAGGGCTGCACTAAAAGTATCGGGAATGGAATATTTCCACTGTTCCTGTCATATTAAAATCTATTTAATTGCAAACTCCAGGGTTTTTAAAATCGTATACCATTTATTTATTTAAAAAAAGATTCTCGGTCGTATCACAAGGTCTTGTCAAACTTGTTTAGTCGTTGAGAAAATGGATTGACTCGAGAAAATTCAAGAGCGATGATTTATTATGACTTTTGAAGTGGTTTAACACAAAAACAGTGTGTTGACCGGATGATTTCTGCATTTGGTAATGAAGCCCCATCCAAAACCACAATTTATCGNTCGTATACACTCTAAACATACAAAAATGCGTTATCGTTACTTCAACTGGAAAAATTAAAGATTCAAGAATATTTTTATATCAACCGTGAGGTATGATATCCTAATTTTATGTATGTATGAGTTAAAACTGGTCCTTTGTCCAATCTCGTTTCAAAGGTTGTTTGAACTTTTTTTTACTTACTTTGAGTACCAAACTTGACCAAATTTATCGTTCACTTTATCTTATTACGTTTATCTTTGAGACTTTCATCGTATGAATTCGAATCACGAGATTAAAATTCTTGAATTTGAATAATGAAAGTTTACCGAAATTATCCAATATTCTTCAAGACTAAGAAAATGAAGAAAATACCAAAGATTTGAAGTAGGAAGAGACTCATTAGAAACTTCAATCATTTTGTTAATAAGTATCAAAAGGTAATACTATATTCCTAGGATCTTTCCTCTAAATTTCACCCCTTACTGAATACCAGCTATTAAATTAGACCGAGTAGATACTATGTATAAGTTAATTATTTATATATATTTGTACGCCGACTAATTAATGGCACATTTTGGCGCTCTATTCATACTAGTTTTAAGACCGTTTGTTTACCCAAAATAATGCAAATAAATGTTTGAATTTTTATTTTTTTACGGTACTACGACCACGGACTACGATTCGTAGCAGTGTGTGGTCGTAGCCGTAGACACGGAAAGAGATCCAACCGTAGCCATTACTGTAGCAGTCGTAGCCTATCGTAGCCAAATGTGCGTAGCAAAGGTCTGTAGCGGTCGCGTCGTCAGTTGTACAAATACCAATTACTTATTCTGTGACAATACGCTTGCATGCGACAAGTGACGTGTATTATTAATTAAATCATGTAGAAATTATTTAAATATATATCGCTGACTAAATACCGCAAATGGCCCTTTATTCATATACTAGTTTTAAGACCATTGTTCTAACCAAAATTGTGCAAATAAATATTTTAATTTGAATTTGAAAAAAGTAAGAAACGTTCAGAAGACTATCAACATTTCAATCAGTAAAATGAACAAAATATGAATGATTACAGATTCCTTAAAATAATCATAATTACTTTGTTCATATTACAATACTCAAAGTGGTAGATTTGTAATTCAAATTATAATTATTAAAATCAACCAAGTTCTTCGGTAACAAGAATGAGACTATTCCTATGCGAACCAATTTAGTGTTCTGCGCGTTGATTGCAAACGTTTTATGCTGAGCAACCATGCGCCAAGTGTTTACTAGTAGTAGTGTTTATGTTATCTACCTATATTTTGTTTGTATAGTTTTAACTCAACACACTATGACCACCAAATACATACTAGGTATACTTTATAGCTTGTATGTATATTGAATGCCATCATATTGACATGCAAAAACGGTATTTAATAGTAAACATTAATTAATTTTTCTTCAAACAACACATTCAATCATAGTTACGTACAATCTGCATTTATTAATGTCGAAACATCAACGTTGCGCCTTGTACTGACCACTTGAGACTGGTACTATTCCAAACCACCATTAATTTCCATTCACGAGCATTTAGCGAATTCCCTTTGTCCTTTGTGCCCACAGTAATCCACAAAAAACATCCCATATTCCCTGTAGTTGGCTGAAAGTAAATAACAAAGCAACCCGCACCTATTTCATGCAAGAACAAATTTTCCAACTGAAATTAAGGCCCTGGAGAGCGCACGAATAAAAGTTAAATTAAAGGACATGCACACAAACGTCTGAACGTGGCCGCGCTCACAGATCCTCCTTGTGCCACATTAAGGTGCGGTGTTCATATCGACAGAATGTTTTATTTCTATAAATCATTATTTACAATATTTAAAATAGTGATTGAGTTTCTTGCGCTGCTTCTTCTCAGCACTGGCCCATTTATTGTCCCGAAGCAGTGGTAAGTAATACTGGGACGTGTAAAAGTGCTTTTTAAAAGCCTATTTGCAAAAATGAGTTATATGAGTTTTTTTTTAATAAATCGGTGCGCATAATAAGGTCGCAAATTAAATTGAGAAATGGCTAATATCTGTCCATAACTAGCTAATCGTCACGCATCATTTACGAAAAGAGGCTATACAAAAAAAGGTTGGGTTACATTAGAGGTCAAGCTGTAGGTAGATCCTGAATATACAGGAGTTGTAGTAGTGGCAAAGTGTGGTGGGATAAAAAAAAATTCGACTAGTTTGCCTAGACCTCTTTTGGCTGTCATTTTTGCCTAGCACAAATAATATTTCTAGTCGAAAATAAAACCGGCTAATCGAAATTGTTTTGTGCAAGCACGTCTACATTAGGCGAGTCAATTACTCACGCCTTAAAATGTAATCAACAATCCACTTGACTAGAGACCGGCGAGGGCGAGCGCACAAGGGCAGCCTTCGCAAATGTTTGCGGGTCACAGTGCGGGCTAGTTTGAATTGCAGGCCCTCGTTGACCCGGCTCCGTCGACCGTCGGCTGATGCCTGATGAATTTATGGGCCCAGCTCTAAAACATTCGGGTATAGACACGACCATTCGTATACGGTACTTGAATATAATTTTAATGCAATTTTATAGAAAAGTCATGATTAATAAACAGGATGGAGATTTCCAATATATTATTTTTATCTTCCCCAAAAAGGGTAACAAAGAACAACACTTTAGAAGTCAACAGATTTATACTAATCGTTTTTGTTACTCATAATAACCAGCAATAATTAAGAGTAATATCGTCTCTGATTTAAAAAGCCTATTAATCAATGAAAAAAGGTTGCGTACATTTTGAAACACCTTGTCAATCGCTAATCTAATCTCTTAGGATGGTCTCCAGCCAGTTCTTCCGCGCCCTAAAACAACAGCCATGCATCACCGTCCTTCGCTTACGAATCATCACGTTTCCAAATATCAGAGCCACAGCGTGGACAAAACAGCTAATCGTTAGATTTTAGCAAACAATAAACAACAAATGTTTATCTACGCATTGCAATTACTAGTCAACAGAGTCTACGTTTGGAATTCACAATAATTAGGTATTTTGATTATATTAGATACCAAAACATGTGTAGGACTCAAAAATGTATAAAAAGTTGATTTTGCGTTATCTTGTCTATTTTTATTCCTGTAAAGATAGTAATACAAACAAAACTAAACTGTTTCTGTTCTGTGTCAATTAATTGTAGAACAAAATACATGTAATGATCATACTGTACTCACCGACCTACGTCTAAAATCTCTGCACCACAACATGATGACGCGACTCAGATAATTCAATACCCTCCTGAATTATTCAAAGGGCCGTAAGATTGCGACGTAAGACAGGGCTTTATTTTTTGCAAGGATTACATTTGTAAGCCGCTCTCATACAGATGAATATGGGACTATTATTGCGACGATGCGATAGTGTACGACAATGTAGAATTGTTATATGATAGGGTATCGTAATTGTCTTGTAGTGGCCGAATTTGTAATAACTCCGTATTCAGACAAGTATTATTCTAAAAGTTAAGATTCCCTTAATATTAAAAGCTCTAAAGCAAAGGTAATGAAGTGCCCTAATCTAGAAGTAAAAGCTAGGTTCAAGTGCTTTTGAAGATAATGAAGATTTTCTAACCGACGAGTATTATTATGTCATTATTCTATTTAATGCTCCAATTCTATTTGTGATTCTGCCGAGTTTATGGAGTGTTTGCTTCCGTCAAAGCGCGGCAGCATCTGTAAGGCTTTGACTTCCTTCCTTTGAAGTGAAGGCTTCAGCCGCAGCACTAGCGACACCGCGGCCGCATCGTTAAGGTGTCGCAATTAGAGACGCAGCAATCAACTCCCACTGTTTGATTGATATCATTAGCGCTGCCGTCTAATTTGAAGAACGATGTAGGGTAGGATTTACTCTTTACTAGTAGGTGCTCTCTTTAATTTAATTTCTTGCGAGTGATTCAGATTCAGATCAGACTGTTTTTGAAAATGAAAATGAAAATGTTTATTCGTCATTATCATTGATTTGTTGCAAAATTTTTATAGCACTTTACCAAGATAAGATTGGAAACCACAGTGTTTAACTTGACGTGATCATCCGTACATAGTTTTGTTAAGAAAGGTAATTAGGTACTTGCCTATTACATTTATAATTTTTTAAGAATATAATTGTGTTTTGTTGTAGGCATGATGACCGGAGATAAATTTTCTATTGTGTGGGTGCACGCGGCTATGACTCGCAGCATTATTTTTATGTGTGTAGACTGTACTTAGGTACCTAATTTCAAAAGGCTAGTGTAGTTGCTGATATATATAACCCAACAATAAAATACAAAGGAAATGCTTTTACCAATATGAGGCATAAAGCAAACAAAAATATAAAGAAAATAAAAATAAGCAAATCTTTTGCGTCATCGATTCTGTGAGATATACGAATGTATATTAATGAATATTCCAGTAAGATAAACTTGTAATAATAACGTAAATAACAGGTACAATCTTTTAACAGGTATTTCGTGCTATACAAGCTAAAGAACCTGCGTTTCCTGGACTCGCGTCGCGTGTCATCCCACGAGCGTTCTGTGGCGGACTTCCAATTACCTACTATTAGGATTTTATCAAGCTACTGGTCGTTAAATTCACTGATAACTTTCAAATTATAGACTGGGTTTTTTTATTTTTTAACATCTTGTGAACTCTGACGTTAACTGTAAATAATGATTCTGGCGAGTAGGTAGGTTTTGCAATAATTTGTACAATGTTTACTTATTACGAGTATGACAATGTGTTTTATTTTTTAAGGAAAAAACCCGGGCAAATGAGACGAATTGCTCGTACCTACATTCTGTATGAACTTCCTGCCTGACAGGTCTACTTTGCAACCGTGTCTTTGTTTTTGTGTTTATCATTAACGGTACCGGACAGACCCGCAGGGTTAACTAGTCATTCATTACATCACCATAAGGCTGACCCTTCGCAGTAATAAATACGGATGGACAGAGGGTTATAAAATAGTTTTTATGTGTTGGCCCGCGACCCGCTGCCAGCTTTTTACTGTCCGCGGAGTATATTAACATTTGTAGGTCGCAGTAAAATTGAGAACGAATAGAGATGGTCAGCGGAATGTTTTTGGCAGTGTTCTGTGTCAAAGATAAACACTGGACAGCGAAAGTTGCTTGCGTGGATATCTGTAAGCTAGCTGAGGCGGATCGAGACTGTTAACCAAACAAGACAATTTATGAATAGTATAGCACCTTAAATGTCACGCATAGTTATAGTTATATTCAATCAAACTTCACATGTTGTAATTTATTTTATTTTCTTTATTAGGAAAACATACAGCTTATATTATAATACAAGTAGCATAAAAATAATACGCAAGCCTATGCTTTGCTATCAATCCGTTCTTCCTCATTCCGATTTCCTCTGTTATTATTATGCAATTCATTGAATTGAATCACAATTATATACTCTATTGGAATTATTGTTCTCATAACACTCTATGCAAAACACTAATCAAGCTGTTTATCGGTCAATTGGCACAGTTTTTGTACAACCGTGTTTGCCCGACGCAATGGTCACTAATGAGCGATAAATGGGCATTATTTATTGCGGTTCTCCGTTTGAAATTGAAGCCTCTAACAAAGGTGAGCGAGGTGCGCCACAAATAGTGCAACAATATGACGTTTTCACACAATATCATAGGAAATTGAAAGATTTATTAGTACATTAATAATACCTTTATTCAGTAGGTTTGAGAACAGGACGCAAACTATTTATCACGCGTACGAAGTCACGAGCTAACCTACTTAGTTGACTATAAAATCTTGAAAATTTCGTCTATACTTATAATAAATCTGTAGAGAGGTCAATTCTGTACATGAAATATATTTTCAAAATAACTATCAGGGGGTGATTAGTGATCGATACTGATGCCAAAAATGCAATCAGTAAAATTTTTGTCTGTCTGTCTGTCTGTCTGTCTTTCTGTCTGTCTGTCTGTCTGTATGTTCCTTATAGAAACAAAAACTACTTGACGGATTTTAACGAAACTTGGTACAATTATTCTTCGTACTCCTGGGCAGGTTATAGGATGCTTAGGAATTCCCACGGGCACGGGAATTATCGGGAAAATCCTTTTGTATGAAAAATCTAAACTGCTTTAGTTAGACGCTTGAAATTTGGCATGCAGGTACCTTAGTAAACTTAAAGCTTAGTTACAACAGGATATTGCAAAATTCCCACGGGAACGGGAGTTAGCGGGAAAAAACATTTGTATGAAAAAATCTAAACCGCGTAAGATAGATGAAGGGGGTAAAACGGGATCCACGCGTACGAAGTCGCGGGCGGCCGCTAGTTAACCGATAAAACGTTAACATGATACATTATACGAGCTAAAATCATAATGTTATTAATGGTAAATAAATACCTATGTTTTGATTTATTATGGTTTGCTTCCTTTTGAAAGTATCAAACCGCCAAAAATAAATCTATTTCCATGATATCTTTGTACTTAGCAGTCGAGCGATTACGTCTATTCAAATGATTTTCTTCAGTAACAGTCACAAAAGACAGTATCCTCGATTAATCAAAGCAAATCCTTAGCCTTTATTTCTATTCAATTCGTGCCATTTTTGAATGTGGAATCGTTTTAATAGAATTTCGTTTGAATAAGATTAACGAGCGATTTTTGGTGGGGTAAAAAATGGCGGAGAAAAACATCGTTCTGAATGGGAGTCGGACTGGTGGATTCATATCATTAATATTGGTCGATTTTAGAATGATAACAGCTATCCCAGTAATGGACGCGTTCAACTCTGAGCAGGCTTTATTGGATTTAGGGCAGATAAATGTTCTGATTGTTAGAGCGCTTGTAATGTGGTCTTACTTATTGTTATGGTGATTTTGAAGAAATTTTTCGCTCATTAATCGAACCCACGTCTTGCATCCTGAAACGATTACTTCTCGTAGTTCCATCTATTGGATTTTGGTAGAAATGTTGCGATTGTCCCTTTAGCCAGAAGTCGTTGTTAGTTTCTACTATTGAAACATAGGCGCCAACATGGCCTGGACCTCCTATGATTTCCATAACCTGTTGGTAGCTGCCTGCATCCAGCGCCTTCTTACTACCTTTGTGAGATCACCGATCTACCTTGTTGGTGGATTCAAGGCCTGTTATGTTTAAATGAAAAAGTTTTTTTAATATCACACTAATCATTCAGATCCAAACTAAGTAGAGTCGTAATAGTGTATCTACCTACATGTATTCAAATACCTGACCAACTCCTGTCATCTGTTTTTCTTTCCTTTTTCGATATACCTCGGCGGGATAGAATCCACCGAGCCCTGGTGTATAGCTGCGCGATCCGGCAAGCTAGGCCCTTACTAACGTAATCCTTTTTTTAAACTTACCCATTCCATTACAACAATCACAAGTTGGGCTGAGACCCGAATTTATGTATTTTAATTGCGATCCCGTTGTTGCAGAGCGGCGCTGCCGAACGGCACGCTGTGGCTGGGCGCGTTCCCTGCGGCGCAGTACCGCGGCGACGTGCACGCGGCCGTCTACCGCTGCCGCGCCGCCAGCCCCGTCGGCGCCATCCTGTCCCGCGACATGAGGCTCGAAGCTGGTGAGTGTTGCTTTGTTTCATGGCGCAGTTCAGCTCACTATGGGTGGGTGCGCAATGGCTGGGCGCGCTATGGCTGGGCCCACTATGGCTGGGTACGCTATGGCTGGGCGCGCTATGGTTGGGCCCACTACGGCCGGGTACGCTATGGCTGAGCGCGCAATGCTGGGCGCGCTATGGCTGGGCGCGTTCCCGGCGGCGCAGTACCGTGGAGACGTGCACGCCGCCGTGTACCGCTGCCGCGCCGCCAGCCCCGTCGGCGCCATCCTGTCGCGTGACATGAGGCTCGAAGCTGGTGAGTGTTGCTTTGTTTCATGGCGCAGTTAGGCCCGGTTACCACCAAAGCGGAGACGAGAAGGGACGGACGGAGTGGACGCCGAAGCTGTCAGGTTATTTCCACCAAAGCGGAACGGAAAGGAGGAGGGATGTGAACTATGCGTAGCTATCAGCTGTCGGTCTATTGCTGTCTACGAATTTTATGATGTTTTCGGGTGTGCAAGGCGCGGGCAGAAGGCACCGGGGAACGAGACACTCCAGGCCGCCCGCCCTCCTCGAATCCGCCCAACACCTCTCCGCTCCTCACAGCGTGACCGCCGCGCGCCAGTGATGCTGTCAAATTCTATAGAAAAATCTGCTCTCCGATCCTCTCCGCTCGATCCATTTCCACCGAAGTTGAGCGGAGAGGAAACTTGTATCACAACATATTCAGCTAGCTTGAGGAGTTATCGGGAATTCGGGATTATTTGTATTGTTTTTTTTTTAGCTAAAGTCATCAGTAGTAGTAGTATCATAAGTGTTTATTTCAGGGATAATGCATAATATTTACATATATTATGTTGTTAAGCAGCTACTTATTAAAAACATGAATCGCTTGATTGAAAATGAGCACAACCAAGCGTTGGCCAGAATTTCCAACAATATTACCAACAAACGCGTAGAATAGTGTGCGTTCATCGTAAATCCGGCGGTAGTATTATTAATTTGTCCGCCGCATTCTGTCGGACGCCGCATATGCAACTGTCATAATAATATACCATAATCATATGCTGTTTGATTATGGTATATTCATCATCATTCATCATACAATTGTAGTATTTCGCTGTATGCAATAGAACCCAATAGCTAGCACTGGTGTTCGTGTCTTCATGTGTCGGTGTTTTTTGTCACTCCAAATCAATATCTACCAAATAGCTAGCATGAAAAATATTGAAAAGTCTGTAAAATTATCTATCCTATACATAACAATAAAAGTGATTTTTTGGTAACCCAATAAAGTGGTCAGTAAAATACACCGCAAGGAAATGTTTGCAGTAACCGCAGCTGAAAAGCTTGTTTGATATGAATTAATGCTGCAACAATAACTGCTAAGTGGCACATTGTCCCATAATTTGGAAATGATTCAACCCACACGGCCTGCATGCGGTGTCCCGCAGCCGTCTGCGGCGGACACAACGTCCCGGCGCAATTTATGCCAGACGCACATGCTCTCGTAATGGCCTACATTCGAATCAGATCATAATACCAAATTGGAACCGAAGTACACGTATAATATGACACATTTTTAATGCTAAACTAGGAATACAATACTTTTCAATTATCAGTACTTAGATAAGTAATGACAATTTCTTACTACATAGTTTATATAATAATCACGTTCCACAGCAATAAAGAATTCTGCTAACGCCAAACCTCTAATAAGTAACAAGCTGAAAATTCTGGAGCGACCGGGCGGAAAATATCTTAAATTAATCAGAGGGTCCTAAATTCGGAAACTGATTTACAGGTGAGTCCCAATCGGGTTAGCGATAATTCCCCACACTTCGCGAATTCCCATCACGGTCGGACGCCTAATCCAAAGGAGTTTATGGCGGGATTTTGGTATAAGAATACTCGGACGCAGCTAAAAACCGCATAAAAGACTTCTTTAAAAATTGACAACCTTAATTTTATTGGTCTGTTTAACACGTCAAAACCTAAAGTGCATTCCATACATCCTTTTAATAAGTAGATAGGTACGATATTAATTACATCATCTGCACTAGATAAATAAAAACAACAGTCTGGGTCACATTGAATAAGCAGATCAGCAAGCTTGATCAGCCCAGCCTTCATCAAGCAGCGCAATGCGATAAGATGAAACCAAATCTGTGTGTCCCAGACAGATATTTTTAATTGAATTATATTGATTTCTAAAATAAACGTGTCAGCTAACCTGCGAAACATATCCTTCTTAGTGTAACTTTAGCGTTCACATTCAGTCTGTAACGGCCCATCTGCATAGTAATCGCCCTTTGAGACCTGTCCAATCTGACGTGAAGCAATCTGCCGTTCCATTAGAGACCTTTTTGTACCAATAAGCACTTAAGCAAGTTTCGGCCTTCATCGTCTACGTCACACACTGACAAAAACAGCCAATCTAATTCTACAGCTGGTGTACCACAAAATGTATGCCTTACGATGTATGCCGTACGACACCTTACGATAGGTGTGATTGCCTAGTTAGAGTCAAATAATAAATGAAGATATTACTATCACTACATTTATAAAATAAAGTCGCTTTCTTGTCTGTCTGACCCAGACGTAGGGTCAGACAGACAAGGCTTAAATCTGTAAAATTACGCAAAGGATTTTGATGAGGTTTTTTAATAGATAGAGTGATTAAACAGGAAGGCTTGTAAAACGCTAAAATGAAAAAAGTACTAGCAGAAAACTCACTATACCTACCAAACGGGATACGTACAACAAAATTGCCATTGACATAAAGACAAAGATGGCGGTTATCTCGTGACTGTGCGGCTGCGGCCCGATATTTCAACAACGTGCCCTAAAAGGTGTTTTTTCGGTCGATCCTTTTGCTTTTTACTCCAATTCCACGCAAAGGAATTGTGAGACGGAACAGTTAATCGCAATATTTTTCAGCAAGGTGTTTTCTTGAAAGCTTGACGCTTATTATTGTGCTAAAAAGTTTTTTGGTTTAATCTTGTGATTGATGTACCGTTTGTTTTTGTTCGCTGCTTTTATATTAAAGAAAAGTAAATCCTTAGAGCTTTACAAAAAGCTCGTTGTATTCGTAAACCACTGAACATAATTTTTTAAAGGTAGAAGTTACTTAAGGTTTTGTAACTGCGTTGCGTTGTTAGGTTTCTTTTCTTTGGACATTGGCTTCAAGATAGAAAGGATTTTTATTACCTGTTATAATGACTTTTATTTATTTATTAATGCTAAACACTTAAATAAATAAATAAATAAATAAATAAATCTTTGGACAATTTCACACAGCGCCAGCTAGCCCCAAAGTAAGCAACTTAATGCTTGTGTTATGGGTGCTAGCTTAACGGATATACTACATATATACTCTTTTTTTAAATACATAAATATTATACATAGTCACACCCAGACCCGTCACAGAAATTAAAATTCATCATTTCAATTTCTGCCCGGCCGGGAATCGAACCCGGGACCTCTCGGCATAGTAGTCCGTTCTGAACCACTACACCAAACGGCCGACAACGGCAACGGCTTGTAAGCTTACAGAGCAGGTCCAAAGCGCTTATAAAGCGACTTATAAATTTGCATTATTTTGTTCAGTATCATCTGTTTCCTGCTCTAGGAAAACATCAAATGGTATTTAATTAATAAAATTACATCGGCTGTCGAAAGTTTTCTGTATAGTACACCGGCTGGAGTACTACACCTTGAAACCTTGGAGATACAACAGTTTTAACAAAGTTGTGTAATACAGTGGATTAAAGTTAGACTTCATACGCACTGTTTTATAACAAAAAAGGGAAAAGGTAATAAGTTTTTGTCGTTGTTTGCACTAGATTGTATTGTATCCTAAGGTAAAATTGTCTTTTGTCTCCTGCTGAAATATCTTTGAAACATTATTTATTTATCGGATAACGTCCACTGAAAGAAATGAATAAACGGCGGCGCGCGCGTGACCTGCGTGTTGATATTCAATCCGCCGCTGTGCCGCGAATGTCAAGTCCCGAACGCTGCAGCGTGACAACCGGGACAAACCGGGACATTTGTAATCATGGCGTGACGCCGCTCTATTGGAAACAGCCTATGTTGCTCCTGGATCAAAGGACCTTTGGAGGAGTGCGCACAAGAGAACACGTGAGGTTTGTGTTTTCAATTTACTATACAATTTGGTTGGGTACTTTCTATGGGTAGCTTTTTAAAGACTCAAGTCGAAGCACATTACAGACAGTAGTTTTTTTAAACTCTATCCACAACGAGGAAGCTTATGGTCTGCATCTCACTTGATGGAAAGTGATGATCAGGCTGAAGGTGGAAGGTTACTGTTAGATACAAAACCCTCTCGTATTAAGTCAGATTTAACTTTTAGGTATCCAAATAAAAAATTGAGGCAACTTACTGCCCACAAAAGGTTTGACGTTGATATTAGCTCCGCTGGAGGGCGGAGTGACGGGAATTTTAAGTTGAGCTGACCACTGCAGCGTAGCGATTGTTGGAACAAATACCATTGCGCGAGTTTTCTGTATAAAATATCCCGAATGTAGCGCACATTTTCAGTAAATTGATTTATTTATGTAGAAGTAACAACCAGTTTCAATTAATAATTAATGTATTTTAATGATGATACTGCAAAACAAAATGGAAATGTATCAGCATCGTGATTAATTTATATGTCACTGTTAATATTTTACAATATCAAACGGAGTATAAACCCGTTACAATAAAGACCAACACAAGTAGGCACATCGATCCCGTTGAAAGTTCTAAGAAGTTTATTCCACGACGGCAACAACAGCCGTCCACTCTAACGCGATTTCGCGATCCAGTACCTCGTCAACATTACCAGAAAATTACTTACTATTCTCCCATACAAATACCAACCTTCTTTCTGTGGCTGAGAATCGAAATTCGTTTAATGGCATACCTCTTGACCTGCCGTATTGACATTTGGAAAGGCGTAAGTCGGGATCAATCTCCTCAGAGGCTGGAATGCAAATACGGTTCTTTATAGAGGCGGT